CATTTTTTAATTCAAGATTTTTAAAAGGTTACATGCATGAATTACTTTTACTCTATTTCACAATTCTGATGAAAGTAACTTATTTAACATCATTCTTTTTTTCTATCTATAATTTACATAAAGACAACTGTATCTCTATTTCAGATATTAAACAACAGAGTGAACCAATGTTATGAAATTAAAGAACACTATGACCCACCAATCCTTCTTTGATGACGCTACTGTTTTCACTAAATGCTAGGCTAGCAGATGCTTGACAAAACTCTTGCAAACCATGTATGGCAGCATATTCCTTGTCCATGTGTCTGGCCATCATAAGCTCCTCAGCCTAGGGGAAATACGTTATTCATATAATGTGCATGCCGATGAATCTATAAGATAACATCTGATAAAAGTTTTTATTTAAATTAAATCTTACAGAATTCGAAATTCTTAAACCTCATCATATTAGCCAATGGTTTTTCCAAATGAAAATAAATCGCAAATATGATTAATGCTACCACAACTGTCTTTCGTTAACCAGAAATTTTAACTTACACTTAAAAGCAACATTTTATCAGTTAAATCTGCATTTTATATTTTAGTGTTTATACACTATTCATCTGAACGAATGAAATCAACAGTTTTTATAGAAACTTGAAGAGAGAAAAACTATTGCTCTTGACAAAAGTTATCTTGACGATTTAAATGAAATTTCTGAATATTCCAGATATATTATATGATTGAAAGATTTGGGGATCAGTTCAACTTTATTCTTTATACTTTTATCTTTGTAATAGGGATGCATGGGTCATAAAATTTGGCCAAATACTAGGTTCTCCCCTCGCCCCCCCCCCAAAAAAAAAACAGCAACTAGAAACAAAAACAAAATTGATGTTCATTACATTTAACCGAATAATCACTAACAGAACATTTAAGTTTTACTTTCAACTTTCAATGCTTAGCCCCAACTTCTCAAAACCCCCACCTTCCCCAGAAATCCACTTCTCAAATCATGTCTGTTGTTAACCCCTATTGTTCTCTGAATCCTTGACTTTCAGCAGGTGGTCAGTCTTTGTTACTCAGAACATGTTTTTTATAACTAAACCAATTATTGACACTAACTTTCAGTACCGCGCAAGTTGCCACAAAGATTAGGACTTAGATGCCATTTTCAATTACCCAGATTTTGGATGTTTTTAAATTCAATACTTGATTGAAGCCAAAGCTGACTACAGCACTAGTTGGAATAAAAGATTTTGATATAATGGGTATAACTGAAACTTAGTTAAATGTCAACAATTTGATGACACATTTCTTGTAAAAACATACTTATAGGTTATTTAATAGAGACAAGATTTCAGTGTAAGATAAGAAATAATCTTGGGGAATTCTTTGTCAAATCTTTTAGAAGCTATTCAGGATAATTTTCTCCATCAATTGGTCGAGGACTACTTAGAGCAATGCTATTTTAGATTGATTGTTAGCTTCTAATAAAAAAATAGCTATTAGGGTTAAGATTGGGAAACATCTGGGTGCAAGTGATCATTGCTCAATTAGATTTGATGTTTTGCTGCGTATGGAGATAAGGAATAGTGATATTTTGGTTCCAAATTTCACAACAGCAAGTTTTGAAGATATGAAACAAGGATTTTCTGCTGTGAATTGAGCAACAGAATTAGTCAGAGATACTGATTAAAAGTGGAAATAATTTTTAAATATATTCTTAAATATTTCTTAAAAACAAAAAAGGTGGCTGTAACTAAAAAATCAGGTTGGCTCACATAGGGGATAAAATTGAATTTCACCCAAAGCTACACGAGGGAAGGCAGCTAGTCATCACCACCCACCGCTAACTCTTGGGCTACTCTTTTACTCAGATTGAGAGTTGAGCTCCCCAACCATCTGGCCATGCCGGGCCAAAAATTAAAAACAAGCATTGTAAATGTAAGAAGTTTACATTGACTGTAATGATGGAAGATTTAGAGGATAAAAGAAAGGTGGTCAAATGGGAAATTAGGAAATCAAAACCAACGAGAAAAAAGGGTGGTTGAAAATGTAAAAAAAACAACAAAAAAACATTTAATAATAATAATATGGATCTCTACAAATACAATTAAGGGTATGGAAAATACATTAGGATGGGAGAAGAACCTTTGAGGGATGATATAGGGAAGCTCATATCTGATAATTATGAGATGGTTGGGCTGCTAACTCTTGCTATGGGCTTGGTTGATTCAACCGAGTTTGTGACCCAAATTTGACCTTTAAAAATTCCACACTATAATTTTTTTTAAATATTTTGTGTGCATCTTCATGAAATATGGTAAGCTTTTATTAAATATTACAAGGCTTTGATATACAAAAAAAACATTTTTTAATTAAGTATTTTTAATAAAGATTTGTCCATGACTGCTTTGAGTGCAAAGTAATTTTTATTTTAAGATAGAAAATACTTTATCTGAAAATCATTGAATTTTATTTGCATAATCTCTAAAACCTCTTAAATAAATAAATATCATGCATTTTTTTTCAGTAAAACTTTATATTACATGCGTTATTTTCTCTACCCTAACCCTATATTGGGCCAGTCAAATTGACCGACCTTGTAACCACCATAAAAAATTAGGGAGTAAATCTAAATTACCCCCCCCATATAGAATATTGCAAATTTTAACAAGAAACTACAATTGTTCATCCCAAATGGCTTAAAGCTTGTAACAATATACATATGTTTATACTTAATTCTATTGTTTTATTGCCCTTTACACCATGTCTAAGTAATAATCCCAACACACAAGTTGTAGATCACTCAGTATACATGCATCTCACATTACTGGATCAAATTATGTAATGCACAAGCATACCTCATCAAATAAAAATAATTCAAAAACACTTAACTGAAGTAGTGTGGCATAAACAGCCTGACACTGTTGATATTTCATTGTGTTGCATTTGTGCTTTTAATGTTTTTGTCATCTTCTCTCTTAGTTTAAAAAGTAACAGATCTATACTCTAACATAATATCCATTGAACCTCTAATTCAATATTTTGCTTTGCAGAAAATCTGTGTATTTTAAGAAAGTGCTATATAAATAAATAAAGAGAGTTACACACACACACACACCTTTCTAACACTAGGCAGCACAAATGGTTTTCCTTGGTCATCTCTATATGCTCCAACTCCAAGGTTGATTTTCTTTGGATTAGTATCTCGTTTGAAGGCTTCTGTAACACCCAGAATTGGGTCAGGAGGACCCATTTCTACGTGAGACCACCAGGAACTATAATAACAATAATAATAACAATGTAAAAAAAAAAAGGTCAAGAAAATGAGTAAATATATGATGTATGTAATAAAAAAAAATGCTCAGTTTAGTTGGCCAACTTAAAAAAATAAAAAATAAAATTGATGTGAACATGAAAGAACTATAAAGTTAAGATTTTAATATCTTTTGAAAAATATTTCGTTATACCACTACAAGGTAAAAGTGTTAAATAGTACCATAAGTTTTTATTAATGAAAATTGAAGCAACATTCCTCATTTTTCACAGTTACTAGATGGAAACAAGATGATCACATTAATTCTGAGCTTGTTAAGAAAAAATGGTAAAGCTCCTGGGCCAGATAATATTTCTCCACATGGTTTTGAAGAAGGTTTTGTAGCAGTAATGTTGCAACCTTGACAATTCCAGTAAACTACTGTTTTCCATAGGAGAAAATAAATATCAGTTGGAATTATCAAGTTTCACAAATCAATCAAAAATTGTTACAAGCTTTTATTTTTCACTTCAGAGTTTCATATATTTCATCAAAACATTTTTCTACTACCTTCAACTAATAGTTACCTTGGGCAGCCTCTGTCCTTAGTTGCAACCATTTTTTTTTTTTTTTAACTATAAACTTGACAGATACTATTTACATAAAAATAGAAGTAACTACAGTATGGCTTTTACTTTAGTTTATAAGTATATTCATAGTGGTTATACCAACAAGTAGTTATCTTTACACTACATTTATCCACCATAAGCTTCTTTAAACAAATTTAGTCCACATTTCAAGTTAACAGTTTTTAATAACATTTTTTTCACTTTACAATTGTAATTTTACCAAAAGAAATATGACACAATGTTAAAATGTTCTCTGCTCAACTAATATTACCTTTTGATCAAAGCAAGATAAAACTAACAGTCACCTCAGTAACTAGAAGGGAACTCAATACAATGCACACCTATCCCACACAGTATTGATCACATTCAGCCCTAAAACAAAACAACAACACAAAAACTGTTCGTACGTCCATCGTTATTAAAGGACATGGACCAATTTTAGTGGGACAATGAGGAATAATACTCTACATACGTCCACTAAGTTTCATTAAAATTCAGTGTGAAAGATTCATCCCCATCCAGATAGGGATTTTTTTTTTTTATTATTTTCATGACCTTGACTTTCCAAAAACTAATCACTTCTAAGTTGGGTCATAGTCCAAATGTAACAACGTTTGTCCAAATCCATTCAGCTGTTTGAGAAATATTGCTGACCAACGTACACACACAAACACAGGGGTGAAAATATAGCCCCCATCCACTTTTTTTCTTAGTCAGTTCATTATCTGCATTGTAATGATAACTTAATATTAGAAGAACTTAGAGACAGAACCACGGAACTTTACCTTTCAAACAAGTCATAATTTAAACACCTAATCATGTTCACTTTTACAATAATTATGAGTAGCGACTTCTACTTATGCCATTTAAAACTTTACAAAATATCAAAATCATAATGATTTATTAACATCTTATAACTATAATATTTAAACTATTACTATTTTTCAGCAAGTTTAAAATATTTATTTTTCTTAACTACATCACACGTATTTCAAATATGGCTTTTTTTCTTTTTAATGTCAAAAAACATGCTTGCTATAACAACTTTAATTCAATGATCAAGTTCCAATCAGAGTAAGCTATTTACTTAGTAATTAAACCTTCCTTATGTTTGTACTTATAAAAAGACTAGTATTCATTGTTTCGTCTGCTGGATACCTTCCTTGCTAATGATATTTTCAGCCACATACCAATAATATAACTCCAAAGATTCGGCCAGCTCACGAGATTTAAGTTAGTCTTCAATACATACATTAAACTAACAATGCAAAAATCTTTATAATAAAAGTACAGTCATAATCAATAAGCTTGAATAAAAAGTAATAACCTTAAATATACTAAATACCATTAATGAAAGTAACAATAATACATTATAGCTTACTCGGAGAACATGGAAACAACAATTATCAGGTTAAACTACTGTTGTAGAAGAAATTTGGAAAATGTAACCTTGGTATAACATGCCTGTTTTTTATCCAACATTATAAAATTACTTGAAATAATACATGTCAATATTAATTTGTAAGTTGTTTTTTTTAAAAGATTTATTTTTTGATACTGACTTGTGGAAGGAGGATATGGTAGAAACCATGCTAAACAACTTAAAACATGCAAAGTATAGTATGAAAATATTTTACTAAGCTTCCAAGATACTTTTGGAATGTCTCGAAATGCATATATTAGGAGCCTAAAACTGTTTCTAGATATGAAAAAGTTGTCTGAAAAAAAATTAAGAATTCATATTGTGACTTATACCATGTTCTCATTATATCACTAGTCGATAATTCTTTTTATATTACCGTCTGTTTATTTTGAGACAAATGTTAAATTATTCATAAAAATTATTTCAAATCAAGATACACATTAAACACTTCTTACCATTCACCAAGCTGATCCTTTTTTTAAATTTCAAATCAAGATACACATTAAACACTTCTTACCATTCACCAAGCTGATCCTTTTTTTAAATTTCAAATCAAGATACACATTAAACACTTCTTACCATTCACCAAGCAGATCCTTTTTTTTTATTTCAAATCAAGATACACATTAAACACTTCTTACCATTCACCAAGCAGATCCTTTTTTTTTATTTCAAATCAAGATACACATTAAACACTTCTTACCATTCACCAAGCAGATCCTTTTTTTTTTTTTTTCAAATCAAGATACACATTAAACACTTCTT